TCCCAAATTTTCTGATAAAGGAGATTATGGGGCCAAAGAGGAAAGTGATTGATGATGTAGAGTGTGCCTAAGGAGAATCACATGGAGAGAAAACATTCTCTCAGGCTTTCACAGAGAGCAAATTGGTCAAGCAATGGCCGTTACTCATCCACATGGCTGACACTGACACAGGATGTGCAAACTGGTACAGGATTTTAGGCTAAATCCTGAGGGGATTTGACTGACCCTGTCAGATACAAAAGTTACACTTCTTGTTATATAGGTCTTGCCTTATCTCAGGCTTAACCATCCAACAGGAAAGTATAGTAATGAGGTATGAAAAGTAAAGCCATATTAACATTCTGAGGTATAAAAGGCTCAAGTGAACAACTTCTGACATTGCCTGTCCTACGGATAACCCACTACTATTATTGAGTACTGGACTATATTAGATTATTTGCTGAGTTCATGCACCTATAATATTTAAATTGTGATGGAATACCCTTCTCTGACAAAACTAAACAAAAAAAGGGGATACAAGTGAAGGACCATTTTGCATCTGTGTATACAAAATAGGATAGATATACAGCTACTTTCTCTTAATTTTATGAGAAGAAAGACTTGTAGTAATAGTGTTTGGATAGGATACCATGCTTGCATCTTGTACTATGAATAACCACTACAAAGACAATAATATGCAATGTATTAATTATTGAAATTGACATATTAATCAGTTTTGAAACTGTCTCATTGCTATTTGTTTCTCAACTAAATTAATAAAAAAAGAATTTTAATTGAAAAATAAACTTTTATGGAAATGGATTTTCAGAGAGTAATCTGATGAACAAATCACAAATGGATACTTTGGTAAATTTTTTTCTCACTTCTAAGATTTAGATACTTTTTTATTTTTGAAAGAATACAAAGTGGTTAAAAATAGAAATAATACAAAATTTCATTCAAGAATTCAACAATGACTATTGTATTGGAACATATGCATATCCATTTTTATAACAGCACAATTTGTCATAGCTAAAGCTTGGAAATAACCCCGATGTACATTAATAGAGAAATCGTTAAAAAAATTGTTTTTACATATAGTGCAGTATTACTCAGCTAAAGAGAAGAACAAATGAGACAGTTATAGCTAAATGGATGGACCTTGAAACTATATTCTTAAGTAAAATAAATTATCGTGTATAAATATTGAATTGTCTTTCTGGTCTGAGGACCTGGAAATGTAAGCAAGGATAAAAATGCAGAATAGATTTTGTGAAATAGGAAAAAATTGTTGAAAAGGAAAGGGTAACTGTGGGAAGGAAGGTAAAAGGTGGAAATGAGAAATAAAATAATAAAATTAAGAAGAAAAAAAAATTAAGCCTTGACTACTTTCAATAGACCAGCAAAAATCATTAGTATAATTATGCAAGCTGTCCTGTATACATACATAAATATATATATTTCCCCTCTTTGTCTTTTGTCCTTTTCTTCATCCCAGCTTTTCTTTCTCATCAAACAGATTCTTTCTCTTTCACAGTATCTATTGTACCTTTTAGACTTATTTTCTTTTTCAGGTTCTTACACAAGTGAGACAATACAATCTTTGTACATGCGGGTCTGATTTGTTTCACATATTAATACAGTCTTTAGTTGAATCCATTTGCCTATAAAAGCTTTGAGTTTATCTTTATTTATAGCTGAGTAATACACCATTATGTAATATATCACATCATTTTTATCCATTCCTCAGTTGTTGGGCATTTGGGTTGTTTCTAAGACGTAGCTATGACAAATTGCGCTGCTATAAACATGGGCGCACATTAAGTCACTGTGGTATGATGTTTTTAGTTCACTTGGAAAAAAATATTAGGAGGAGAATAGATGGCTTGGATAGGCCTTCCAATCCTAGCTTTTTGAGGAATCTCCACACTGATTACCATAGTGGCTATATGTGTCTTCACTCCATCCAACAGTGGGGAAGGATTCCTTTTTCCCCACAGCCTCTCCAGCATCTGTTATTGGTTGACTTCTTGATGATAACCATTCTTTCTGGGGTGAGATGGATCTCAGTGTTGTTTTAATTTGCATCTCTCACATGACCAATGATGTTGAACATTTTTTCATATATTTATTTGCCATTTATATTTCTTCATTTGTGAAGTGTATATTCATCACAAATGCCCATTTTTGCATTGGGTTTATGAATTTGGGAAGCCTGAGTTTTTTACAATTCTATGTATGTTCTAGACAGAAGTCTTTTGTCAGAGGGACAGTCAGGTATAATTTTTCCCAATTCACAGGTTTCCTTTTTACTCTGTTGGTGATTTATTTTAATATGTGACACTTTTCAAAAAGATGGGATCCCAATTTTTCATTCTTTGAAGTATTTCCAATGCATTTTGTTCTTTTGTGCGTGAGCTCTCTATCTGTCCCTCTGTTTTTAAGATTAGAATAGAGGGGCCAGGGAGATGGCTCAGTGGAGTAAGCGCTTCCTTCCCTGGCAAGCGCAAGGGCCTGAGCCTGAGTTCAATCCCCGGTTCTGAAAAAAAAAAAATAAATAAATAAATAAATAAATAAATAAATAAATAAAAGATTAGAATAGAAATATTCTTGACAATTCAAGATTTTTCAAAATTATTTTAAAGGCTTAAGTCTTTTGCCTTTCTGTATGTGTTTTAGGATAAGCCTATGAAATTACGTTTACATTTTGATAGAAACTGGATAAAACCTTTAGATACTTTCCAGGAAAACTGTATCTGTTGTATTCTTCCAATTTATAATCATGGAGCATATTTTAATATTTCCCATTCAAATCTATATTTATAAAGTTTGTTCCTATACATGCACTTAGGTATGAATGAGGTTAAGTAAACTTTTTGTAGTTACATAGCTAGTGTACTGTGTTTAAGTGATGTAAAGCAGTACCACAAACTGCATGGGTGAAATGGTGAAAACTTACTTTCTCCTAGTTCTAGAAACTAAAAGCTCCGGATCAGTGTGTTCCAGCACTGATTCCTCCCTAAGGTTTTCTCTTAGGGGGGCTGTTTTCTTGCAGGGGGCTGTCTTCTTCCATCTTCCACAGTCTTCCTTCCACACCTCTGCCCAAATGTCCTTTTCCCAGAAGTACTCCAGTCACATTCACTGAGGGCCTGACTCTCCCCCCTATACCCTGGATTTGACTTAGTAACCTCTGTAATGACTTTATCTCTAAGAACAGTCACATTACAAGGCACTGAGCTCTAGAATTTCATCGTATTCACATGTTTTTGGTGGAGACACAACTCAGCCCACAAGAGTTAGTGGTTATTTGATGATCCCAAAAAGAATTGGTGTGTCCCTGTTTACATGCCAAAAATAATTTAATCATAACAAAGTATAATGACAGTGTAGCATTTCTTCAGCAACAGAAAATTTGTGTTGTTTCTATGTGTTTGTTTTTCTCTAAAACCAGTGGCAGGGTCTTGCAAGGGATTAAGATGACATTCAAAATATTATCATCTTTTGGACTAAAGTGATGAATTGCAGTTGACTGAAGGACTATTTTATAAGTATATTTGTTGTATCTAAGAAAAGAAAAAATTCTGGAAGATGAGTGAGGACTTAGTTATGCTTCGAAATTGTGGTTTTGTGTTGTATATTTGTGTAAGGTAGCTCCATCTTACAATGTCGACTGTATGTGACTTTCAGTCTTCAAGTTGATCTTGAGATATCCCAAGTGAAAAGTATAATTGGAATTTAAATGGCTCTTGGGCCCAAAACAAGTATAAGTTTCTCTTGAGAGCAATGTGGAAATTAAAATTTAAATCAAGATCTAGAGTAAACAGCCTCCCTGAGCTGATGGAAGGGTCTTCTGGGAATATAAACATAAAGAAGTTTGATTCTGAAAACAAAATAGCATCTTTGACTCCATTAGTCTCCTACCTTATTTGTAGAAGATGATTTGAGAGGTTGGGGAGATTATATAGTGTTTCAACTTATTCCTAGGAGGGGTAAAAACCGATAATCTTTAGATTCCAAGTGGCTCTTAAGGAGAAGTGAAGTGATTTCTTCATTAATAACCTTTGCAGGGTACTTTAGCAGGCTTTCAGCAGCAACCATGTGAGCTGAATTTCAGAAAGGACATAATAATCCTACTCCTTACACCACCACCAAAGCCAGGGTTCAAGTGAGTATTGGAAAGTACTCAGCATATTTAGAAGGAGGAGACTAGTAGACTCCACTACCAGATGTTCATAGAGAGACAGGGAGAAGAAGAAAAAGATCTCAGCCCACAGCTTGGCTTTGTGTACAGATCTCAACCTGAAGTTGATATCATTGGGTAATAGTGCTGGCCATGAACATCTAAGTCCTTTAGTGCCTGGTGAGAGGAATATGATAGAGCCTCTCATTTGTTATCCTGCTGTCTAAAAGATGAATAGAGAGGCACCACCTAGTCTATCAAGACTTCTTTTCCCCTAATAATGTAGAGAAGTGTTCTTGTATAAACAGCAGGTCCCTTGATTTTTCATGAATTCACTTACACAATCTTCTTCTTGGTACCATTCTCCATCTTTGTGACCTCTTCCTGTTATATGTTCTTTCCTCACCTTCTGTCTCTTCTCACTTTGTCTTTGTTCTTAGAAACACAAAGCAGGTCCTCACTGAGGTCACATGCATTTTCCATAGAGTGGGTAAGTTTTCTGATCTCTAATGCAATTGTATTATAAGGTATCTCTGAGTACTATTCTCAGGAAGAGGCAAAATCTCCCCAAAGATTATTTTCAGAATACAATGAACTCTTTCTAGTCAGTTCCTGTGGTGACCTGTTACTGGTTGTGACATACACTTCTACAAGAGGAAATTCTTTTTTTTTTTTTTTTTTTTTTTTTTTTTTTTTTTTTTTTTTTTTTT